GGGGAGAGCGGGGAGGGAGGGGAAAAAAGGAGGACCTGATGTTGGGCTTAAGTGGAGAACAGATGTTTTGAGAATGATGGGGGCAATGAATGTACAAATGTGCTTTACACAATTGATGAGTGTATGGATTGTGATAAGTTGTATGAGCCCCTAATAACACGATTAAAAAAAATAAAAGTAAAAATAAAAAGCATACCTGGAAAAAAAAAGAGAAAGAAATGGTTTCCGTTTTTTCTTTTCTTTTTAATCATTTATTAGGGGCTCATACAACTCATCACAATCCATGCATACATCACTTGTGTAAAGCACATTTGTGCACGCATTGCCCTCTTTCTCAAAACATCTGCTCTTCACAGAAGCCCCGTTGTTGTTTTAACTTCGTTCGGGTCTTGTAAAGGCAAGTGCCATGTTTCCAGGCCCTGCCTAGACGTGGAGGAGACTGGAAAATGAAATCAAGTTACCGCTCAGTCATCTGTTCTCTTCCTTCCAAAATTCTGTTTCAGTCAACTCCCTCACGCATGCATTCTGGGAGTGCGTCTTTAATAATGCCCCGTTTCACAAGCCCCAGAGCGGCTGCTGAGGCTGCTTCTATACATCCAACACACGGCATTGAGTACTGGTCTAGAGGTTTGGTGACATGGTTTCATGGCACATCCCAGTTAACCAGCTTAGTCACCTAAGTTCAGAACTTTGTTCTACCTCCCAGTTAACTTTCCAGGCCTGTGGGCTTAAAAGTGTGCGAGCAGCCATCCAAGGCATAGCAGTTGGTCTTGCTTCTCCCGGAGCAGCAAGGAAAAAAAAGGAGGAGGAAATGGACTATGTGGATAGTTGCTTCCGTAACCAACTGCCGCCTTAGCCAGGAGACCAGAGCTAGTGTTGCTTGCCTACCTCTGCTGAATATTTGATCAAACATTTTTTAGAAGAACCCTGATCAGAAAAATTTGTAGAACAGAATTTCAGGTTCACCTGGAATCTATATTCTCTGAAGCCATAGGAAAGTGGATGCACTTCCAAAACTATTACCCTGAGGTAGTCATTAAACCTCAAACCAAAAATATTTCCTAAAATCTTCTTAAAACTACACAGTAGTTTCTATTAACTAATACAGAATGTCTGCCTTGAACATTGTACTATTCTAAGAGCGATCTGTGGAATCAAGTGAACAATAGTAACTCAAAAGATTAGGTAGGAAGCAGGCTAAAAAAAAAAATCGCACAACTCTGTAATTAATGCCACTGAATTTGCATATATAAACAATTGAATTTGGTGTATATTCTCAACAAATAATAAAATTATTAGAATGTTCCTTTAACTTCATCTTAATGGAGTTACCAAGGTAACAAATAAAAGCATGGCTTTAATTTACCATCTTGCAGTTTTTTGTTAATGAAAAAAATTTTTTTTTCTCTATAACAGCTCTATTGAAGTTTTAGGGATTTTATAAAGTTGGTGGAAAAATTTGGTTGTCTCCTAATTCCATTTTAAACTTTTTAAAGCCCTTTGGTGGTGCTGTTGGATAAATGTTGGACTCCTAACTTAAATGTCAGCCGGTCAAATCCAGTGGCTGCTTCATGGGAGAATGAGGAGCCTTATCTGCTCTTGTAACAATTGACAGACAGTCTTGGACACCATTATGTAGATTCTCTTAGGAGTTGGAATCCACTTGATGACAGTGGGACATAGAACTTACACACTATATAGTTCACTGCCTTGTGGAACCCAGGCAGTGCTGTTAGGTAAGCATTGGGTTGCTAATGACAAGGTTGGTAGTTCAAATTCACTAACTGCTTCACGAGAGAAAGACAGGGCTGTCTGCTCTTACATATGTAACTTCATAGGTTTGCTATGAGTTGGAATCAATGTACTGTACATACTTGAGTATAAGCCTACTCAAATATCGAGGCACCTAATTTTACCACAAAAACGGCATTAAAAATACACTGAATCAGTCGGTGCAGTGTAGCAACGATGAAACATACGACTTCCCTCTAGTTCTTAAGTGCTTCCTCCCCCCACTACCATCATCCCAATTATACCTTATAAATCTGACTAGACCAGAGGATGTACATAGGTACAGACAGGAACTGGAAACAGGGAATCCAAGACAGATGATCCCTTCAGGACCAGTGGTGAGTGGGTGGCGCTGGAGGGTAGAGGAAGGTGGGGTAGAAAGGGGGAACCGATTACAAGGATCTACATACACCCCCTTCCCTGAAGGATGGGCAACAGAAAACTGGGTAAAGGGAGATGTTGGACAGTGTAAGATAAGACAAAATAATCATAAATTATTAAGGGTTCATGAGGGAGGGCAGAATAGGGAAGGAGGGAGGGGGAAAATGATCTAATATCAAGGGCTCAAGTAGAAAGCAAATGTTTTGAGAATGATGAGGACAACAAATGTATAAATGTGCTTGACACAATGGATGTATGTGTTGATTGTGATAAGAATTGTACAAGCCCCCAATAAAATGATTTTTTAAAAAGATGGTGGCAAAAAATAAAATAAAAATGCACTGAATAACTCAGCTTATACACGAGTATATATGGTAATGTCATTGGCTTTGGTTCTAATTTACTCTTATCTGTGATTTTCATTTCTTTGATTTTAGTTACCTGCCAACCGCAATCTGAAAACAGTTAAGTTGTGCGCAGTTCTGAGTAGCATGATGAGCCCTCACGCCAACCTACTCTGTCCTGGAGTGGAAGCCTGGGATTATGAGTTCAATTGCCACGGCACCATGGCACCATGCTAATGCCTAGTAGTGTAACACTGCCAGCCTGGACTCTGTTGTTATGGGACGAACATAGTTTATTTAGAATTGCAACTGTGTACCATTTTAGGCATCCACTGGGGATCTTGGAAGATGGATATGCACTGTGCCTAAGGGAGAGAGAGAGTACTGTGTACAATATTAGATTTTATATGTTTACAGATTTTCACAGCTATCATTATAACTTTAAAGCAGTCCCACCCTTGACCCCCTCCTACCCCCCATGACCCGAGCACCACCAAACAACTTACTGTCAATGGGTTTTCCTGTTCTGGACATTTTCTTAAAATTGAATCATACAATACGTGGCCCTTTTGTATCCAGATTCTTTCTCTTACTAGCATTTTGTTTTTAAGGTTCATCTATGTTGTAACATGTCTTGGTACTTCATTTCTTTTTATGGTTATGTCATT